ATTTCAGGAGAAATATTATTTCAAACTATTTTTCAAATCTCATAATGAGGATAATATCAAAAAATCTTCTGCATCTCAAGTAAGTATGATTAAATTAAATTGATTTATTTAATTTAAAAAATATTTTTTTAAAAAAAAGATAAATAACATCCTGAAGATACAAGCAGTCCTTGTTTAGCTATCACAATGGGACAGTCATTAAGCACTATGGTTGTTAAGTGGAAAAGCACATTACTGCAACAGGGTTATAATGGTAATTCTTATTTGGTTATTAAGCAAATCACTGTGTAACTGCAATTGTGGAGGTTCTGCAATTTAATTCTATGTTCTTCCTTAACTCTGCTTCTCACAAACCCATAGAGAAGAATGCTGAGTATAGGATAAATGAGGATTAGTAGCAAAACTGGAATGCTGGGTTTTTTGTTTTGTTTTTTGCATGTACTTTCAAACATTGCTGCATAGAACAGTTGGTAAGCAATCCGCGTGTAGAATACTCACCCCTCATGTAGGGGAATGAGTTACAAGCATACTGTTAAATACTGAATTCACTAAGAAATACAGTAATGAGACAGACAAAAAAAAACCCCAATACCTGAATATTTGCAGGAAAGGTTTCTGCAGCTTGCCTGGAACGCAGAAGATGTGGGACAATCTTTAACTTCACCCGAGTACTGACAGGATCACGTTTCAATTCTGGTTTCAGAACAGCTCCCTGTTATAAACACACAAATGAATATTTTGAAACATAAAGTGATTAGAAAAAAACTAAATCACTCAGAAAAGGAATCAGAGTGTACACATCAAATTTTTATTCTGGTCATTGACCAAGGTAACAATTGTACATATAACTACAATGTTTCAAAGCACTGGAACTGTATAAATTACATACTTACACACACACACACACACACACACACAAAACTGAGATTACTACAAAGTAAGATACAATTTAGTGTACTCCAGAGGTGCCCAAATGTTCTTGGTTCACACTGGTTTTAGCGTCTCAATAACGTTTTCATGGTGTTCCTAGCAGTTCTCAAACTGTGCACTATGGAACCAAGGAGAGAATTGGGATAGCTCCAGTTATTAGGCAACAAAATATGCCATTGTGTTTCTGTGAATGTATCCAGTGGTGCCCTAGTTTGAGAACTACATGTATATTCAAAGGAAGCCAAGGGCCACTCCTAACATGACAGGCTATTATCCAAGATAAGAAACTGTACATCCAGGTTATCCTACTCTTTGAATTTGATCTCCTAATGACGCTTGGAAGTGTGAAGAAAGCATTTACCTGAAATGCCTTAAACCAGCTGCATCTATTTCAAGGGTTAGAATTCTTGACAATTCTCATTATTTGTAGAGGTTCTGATCCAGCATAAAACTGAATAACAAAACCTGAGATAATGAGATGAGTTCACATTTATGGGAACTGGAGGATAAGATTGCAAAGCCTATAGCCATTGTCTTCCTCCCAGAGCTATCATCTGCACAGTGCAGCTGGATCTATTTCACTTTTTCATTGTTCACTTATAAAAGATTTGAGTTAGTCCAGCTGCAAAACTCCAAGCAGCTTCTTTGCAACAGCTAGTTTCTGAGCCCCTCTAACAGTGATTAATAGAGGGAACTGCCCTCTTTTAATATGTGGCTTTTAGGACTCTTCTGCTTTGCATGTTTATTCAGTAACCTTACTGCATTCTCTGGACACTACTCTGCCTGCAGATGATTCGTATCTGGCTCTAATCACTACAAACAATCTGAAGGCAGCACTAATATCCATTGGTGTAACTAACAGATTGCATTCAGGTCTCTGGAGGAAATAGTAATAACCAACAGGGTGATTGAGAGATAAGCATAAGCAATCTGTGGCAGAACTAGCATTCACCCGTGGGAACAGTCAAGAGTCGGTTTGATGTCAGGGTTCCAAGTAATACACCCATAATGAACAGAACTCTAAGGCAGGCAGATTCCTCAAAGAATAGTTTTATTTGGATATATCATATTGGCACAGGCTGGTGAAAACCGACTCTGAGTGTTCCTGCAGTTTTCACCCAATTAAAAATTTTCTCCCTTCCCCAAACAATCAGTCACATGGTCCAATCAAGGTGCCCTACGGTTGCCTGATAACAAGATTCAAAGTTCTAATGTTGAGGGCCCTTTCTCCTCATTCCCCAAGTCATAAGCCTACACTTTGGCCACTCAGCAACCAGTTTGCATTTACGATTGTTTACAACCATTAAAAAGGTAGTAAAATGGCCAGTTTATGGCTGTCCCAACTTACAACCATAATAGGGAAGATCCATACGGTCATAACTCAAGGATTACCTATACCCAGTTGCTTGGAATAAGGAACAGAAGCTTTTTTCTAGAAAACATTTTTCTTCCTTTATTTCTAGGTTAATGAAAGAGTAGGAAAAATGTGGATGTAAATAACTCTGAAAATGATATTCTCTACCATAGCAAATAATCCACATTATACAATATACAGTATAATACCAAATGATACACAAAGTGCAAAAAATAGAAAATAAGAAGGAAAGCAGATTTAGATAAGCAATTCTTACCTCCTTAGTTTTTAGTGGTATATCCCCAAGGTAAACTTTGTACAGCTTGTTGATGATGGCTGGGTTATTCCAGTCAATTAAACTAAGGGATGAAGGGAAAGAGGAAGAAGAAATTTACTAAAAATCAAATTGATTGCCAAAATTCTTTTTTCTTCTTCCATATTTTCTCTTTTCAGTAATTGAGTTGCCCAAATGAAAACTTTACTGATTCTCAGTTAAGCATGTCTGTGGAGATTCTCAATCATCCAGGTTATGGTTGTCCTAAAGGTGCTTTTCTAAAAGGCAAGTGGACTTACTTGTTTTTTTCCCCTTGAAAATAATTCCTTGAAAACTGAAAAAACTTCTTGGATGAGAAGCGAAACATTTTCAAGGAAAAAAACAAGAGAATACAGTTGCCATTTGGAAAAGCACTTTTGGGATTCATTTGGCTACCTGTTTCTCACTAGCATCAGCTGTCCCCCCCCACCCCCGTTTCCCATATCTGCACCTCCCCCCCCCCTGCTACTAGCTGGGACCTTGTTTCACACTTCTTTCTTTTGTGCCAGTGCAGTTTCCTTCTTTCCTTCCTTCTTTTATGCCAACTCAAAGGAAGGATCTGGCTAAACTTATAGCATGCAACTGTTTTTTTTTTGCATGCATGCCTTATTTTCACAAAATAATACCCTGGATGGAGCACAAATGGAGGCCCTGCCTGGCATGTGACTGGAACCTCTGGCTGAAACATAATCAGAAGTCCTGGCTGGCACATTAATAGAGGCTCTGGTCAGGGCATGAGAGAAGCCCTAGCTTAACTGGTGCAAAAGAAGACTCCACTGGTACAATATTGTCATGCATTTCAGGAGATATTATGGAGCGGGGCAGAACTGGACAGCAGAAGCCACTGGCAGCAGAAGACAGGCAAAACTGGTCGTGAATGCAGGGTGGGAGGAAATTTTGTTTAAGTGACTGCGGGGATACTGCAACGGAAGGAACTTTAAGGACCAGTCATAAACTCCTTCATTCAGCACTGTCATAATTTCAGTTGCTAAATGAATGGACACTAAGTGAGGACTACTTGTACTGGAATTAGCAACAACTGCTGTCTATTTGCCTCTTTTGAAAATAACAAGTGCTTGGATCTCGGAATTAACTTTTAAAAAAATATCTGTACCTTACAATGTTTTTTGTTCCCATCTTTACAATCCTTTTTTATTTTAATAGCAATACTAGGGAACACTCCTGTAATCTTACAAATCACCAATAGTTACCAGGAACTTGTGAAACTAATACTGGAATCTAGGTCATTCCTAGCATATATCTTCAATAATTTCATAAAATACTAGCTATGGGGACATTTAAATATATTGTAAAGAAATTAATACTGTACCTGTTTAGAAAAGCATCTTTGAAATTATGACATACACAGTTCTGAAAACCTACAGTGTGATTAAGTAAAATCACTAAACTACTAAAGGATTTGCTTCAGATAAATTGAGATATTGTTAAAGATTGATTAATATTCATATAAGCACTGGTCTTTTAAAAACTACCCAAACTATTAGAATGGCCATATGAATGAAATTTGTCTACCTTTATTGCAGTATTATGCACTAAACCTACTGTATTTAGGAGCAATGAAGCCATGGACACAATTTCATTTTGGAGTTTCTTACAATGAATGAAATCTGAACAGGAGCCTCATTCTGCAGATAGCTTAATATTCTTAAAATCCTCCCCAATCAGATTTTTCAATCATGGGGAGAGTGAGATAAACTAAATATGCTTAGAATCCCTGATCATAAAAGCTTTGGCAGGCTCTTTATTAGCAAATACAGCACAGAAAACTACCTTAATGATAATAATTACCTGCTAAGAAGCAGGTATCTATCAAACCTGAGGTGATACAGTATTACAATTTATACTAATATATGGATGCCAATATTCTAGAATGAATGAAGTGCTGCTATCATTGTGGTCAAATGTAGAGATGTCTACATCCTTTCAAATGCAATTCCAGAATGTTCCAATAATTTTGTATTAAACAAAACCAACCTTTTAAAAATGTATAATAAACCATCACTTTTGTTTTTAAACATCTATATTATAGCCCATTACCTCTGCTTGCTTTTGAGTTCAAGATCTGCTGCAGTAGCGACACTGTGCCGTGTATCACTAGATGCAATAACCAAATGTATGACAGCTTCAAGTTCAGGCACCTGTTCAGCTTCGATGAACTTCACAATACCCAATTTACACTGCCCAACAAAGCAGAAGACAATAAAAGTTGTTCAGTATAATCTCATACATTGTCTATAGAAAGAATTCCTTTATTATAATTACAGAGTGATAGAACTGGATAGTTATTTCTATCCAAGAAATAATAAGAGGCTTTGCCTTAAAGCAGAGATGGGGAAATTATGAGGCTTAATACATTACAGGAGGAGAATTCTCAATCTAAGTCAACTTAGTCAATCTAAGTAATTGTGAATGGGAATTCTGATCCAACCATATGTGGGGGGTCAGAGGTTTTCAGTCATTTAAAGGTAAAGGTAAAGGTTTCTTCTGTCCTATCATGTCTGACTTTAGGGAGAAGTGCTCATCTCCACTTCTTAGCTAAGAGAAGCAGCATTGCTGAAGACCCTTTCCATGGTCAGACTATATGTCAAGATGCATGGAATGCTATTACTTCCTACCAAAGTGGTTTAAAATGTTTAAGATGATATTTTCCAAAATACCTCTCATCCCTATAAAAATATGCTGTTTATCATGCATATTACATTCATTGTTCAGAGTTTTTGAATGGCGCAACATCATATGCTGATGCTACTTGGTTTTACCACTTTTTTAGTTTAGTTTTGGTTTTATATTCTAGTATTTTATTTCAGTTTACAATCTGAGAAAGATACAATATAATTAAATTAGAGTATGCATGAGCTGGAGACAAATAAAAGTTCACAAGATAAGTTACTACGCATTATGTTTGGCAACTTGTTATAATTAAGCTATTTCTACACCACCACCCATTGGACTATAATTATTTGGCTTTTACCTGTTCCAGCTGCTCAGGTGTCCACGGACTGTCTCCAATTATCCGCTTGGCTGCATAAAAGCTCATTCCCGGAGGAGGCTGAGGGATCCCAGATCCTCCAGAAGTGCTTGATGAAGAGGAACCCTGGCCCACTGGTACATTCTGGCGACTCTGGGATTCATTTAACACATATCTAGAAGGAGAGGGGGGGGGGTTATAAAATCCTCTATTAGGAACGGTGAGTGAATGTATCAGTCTATGAGCTCTGCACTGCTTAAATTATGTCAGTCTGAAAAACCCAGCCATAACCTCAGTTATGGAAACAAAAATTGGACTTGAAAAAGCAAGATATTAAAATAGATAATTATTTTTATGTCACATTAAAAAACACTATTTTATCAATTTTGGAAGTATTTGGGAGGCCTTATTCAAAGCCGTCAGGAACCATATAAGCTCTGAGGCCTTGAGATTACACATTTCTAAAATAATAGAAATCTAGAGAGCCACTTTGGTCTACTAAGTGAAGGACCAGACTAGAAAGCCGGAGACTGTAAGTTCTAGTTCTGCTTTAGCAATCCAGCTGGACAGCCTTGGACCAGTCACTCTTTTGCAGGTCAACTCATCTCACAGGGTTGCTGTTGTGGGGAAAATAGGAGGGGGAAGGTGTGTTGGATATGTTTGCCACTTTATTCAAAAATAATAATAAAGGCGGAACATAACATTTTAAAAACTATATAAATAATTACATTAGTTAATCAGGACATCTGTATAAGAGAATCCATTTCCAGAGACCAATAAAAAAAGCATCTAGACAGAATACATTTTAATTAGGCCATTAACTTGATCAGTATTAATTTCTGTCAGTTAAATTTGGATGTCTTTGTGCATAGCAGACAAGATAAAAAAATTCTACTGATTCCTAAGATTTGAGGACTTTTACAATGCTGCTGGACCATTTGTACATTAAAGAAGAACTTACAAACATTTTAATTTTTCTTTTAAATTGTGCACGTGACAGATTGGGCATGAAATTTAGCTGCATTTAAGCAATTGTGTATTTTATCACCTTCTAGGACACAGATTTCTCTGAAGCAGAAGTCCCATTTAACTTTTGGGGACTCCTGCTAAGGCTAATTAAACAGGCACAGATAGTCCTCGCTTAAGAACCAGACGTTTAGCGACTGTTCCAAGTTACAACATATCTCTCCAGAACTATTTACAATCTGTTTTCTAAATTCTGACAGTCATATACCCGCTTGTGATAACACAATCATATTTTAGATGCATGGCAACCAGTTTGTCTTTACAACTGTTTGCAGCCCACAGTCATGCGAAGGCAATTTCTGGTGGGTTTTGCTGGTGAACAGAATAACAGAAAGGACCAACTACCTGTTCTAGCACGAAACCCTATACCATTTCAGACAAATGTCTGTCCAATCTCTTCTTTAAAAACTCCAGTGTTGGACCCATAACTTCCAGAGGCAAGTCGTTCCACTCATTAATTGTTCTAATTGTAGCACATTGCTGGCTCATATTTAAATAAGTATCCGCTAGGACTCCAAGATCCCTCTTGCATCTACTACAATTGAGCCAGATATGCTGTACCTGTGCATTTGTTTTTCTTGTCTAAATGTAGAACTTTACTTTTCTCATCTCTGAATTTCATTTTGTTAGATTGGGCCCAGTATTCAAGTCTGTCAAGAGCCTTCTGTACCTTGAGGCTATCTTCTGGAGTGTTAGCTATTCCTGCCAGCTTGGTGTTTTCTGCAAATTGGATGAGTTCCCCTTCTATCTCTTTGTCTAAATCACTGATGAAGATATTGAAGAATACTGGGCTTAAGACACAGCCTTGGGATTCCCCATTGCATACCTTCTCCCATGTGGATGCAGGTCCATTAAGGTGTACCTGTTGAGTGCGCTTAATCAGCCAGTTACAAATCCATCTGGTGGTGATACTGTCTAATATACAAATTTCTATCTTATCAAGTAGTAGCTTGTAGTGTACTTTATCAAATGCCTTACTGAAGTCAAAGTAAATTATATCCACAGCATCGGATATAGATTAGCAGATGGCAACTATATCAGCCCTTTTCCAGTTGTCTGCTCTTCCAGGAACTTTGAAAGATATGGTTCAATGGTTCTGAAATCATGTCTGCCAATTCCTGCAGAACCTTGGGTGCGATCCATCTTGTCCTTATGATTTGAACTCATCTAGAGTGGATAGGTGTTGTGTTATCATTTTTCTGCTTTTTTGACTTGCATTTTTAATCTGCATTTTATCTAATCCGCATTTAATCTACAGTATCTATATATATATATATTGGTTTTTTTCTGTGCATAAAAACAGATGCAAAAAAAATGAGTTAAACAGTTCTGCTTTCTCCCTGCTACTCATCACTTTGTCATTTTCTTCTATTAATGGACCAATTGTTCCCTTGACTTTTTTCCTTGTTTTTCCTTCTTCCTTGATATTGAAAGAGGCTTTTTTGGTTATTTATAACTTTCATTGCAAGCCTTAGTTCATTTCGAGCCTTAGCTTTCCTGACTTCATCTTTGCAGATTTGAGCTATTTGCTGACATGGTTATGTGGTTTCTGACATTTATTTCTGACAAAAAGCACCCATTGAGTATAGTGAGACTCATTTAAGAATTGTGGCATTTGCTTAATGACTATGGTGTTTGGTTAAATGCCACTTAACGACTTATGATCATAATTCCAGGTCTAATTATTAAATCAAGGGTTATCTATAATTGGCTTTAAGATGGCAAGTCAACCATGCCAATCACAGTGATTTGCACTACACAAACTTTCCCTCAATGATAAGAAAGTAAGCCAAAACTAAACTAATCAAATTAGAACTTAATGTGATATGTAACTCCTGCTGAAAAGCTAACAAATATCTGGGTAAGACACAATGCTTCTAGCACTTTCCCTGTGATTATATTACCTTTAGAATCTGCATTCACTGAGCTGCCTATGGATTTTTAAATGATCTGAGGCAAAAACATGATTCTCATTAAAAAAACAATAAAAACAAAAATACTCTCTAGAGAATGTCATCAATGGCAGAATATCACTTTAAAGACGAGTCTTCCCTCTCCTAGTACCAGTAGTATCTATCACCTGATAAACTTCATTATTACTTACCCATAAGGCATGAGGAGAACATCCAACATAAAATCCAACAGCAGTTGTACAGTCTTTGGTTTTTCAGCAAGATTAAACGGAGAAGCTGCTTTCAGAGGTTCAACAGGATATTTCATGTGAAAAAGTGTTGGTATTAGAAGGTGCATTAGGCTGCAAAACAATTGTTTATATTGCAATTATATGTAAGAATCTGTCTAAACATTCATAAACACTTTCATTTGTTGCCATTTGCATTTTTAAAAACTTTAAGTGGGAATTGCCGACAAGGAAGACCACAAAACTTCATGGCTTTCATGAAACCACTTTCCTTTCTTTCATATTTAGTAGCTAATTCCAAATGGATCTGTATTATACAAATTGCTCTGAAATGAATTAAACTGAAACATTAAATGTTAAGTAGGTTGGATCCAAGAATTAAGATTTACCTGTATGACAAAATGTTGGATGGCAAAAAAGCAAGGTATTTAAAATATAACCGTTGCCTAGGAAAGATGGTTGAAACCTTTTTTTAGGTCCCAGGAAACAAGATATATTAGACAAATCCCTCATTTGTTGGGATTTAAGAAGGAGTGGAGTTCAGGTCAATAAGGGAACTACACCATCATTTCTCTGAACATGTATTTGCAGTCTGTAATGGCTAATTTATTAAAAGGAATGTGTTTTTTTTAAAAAAATATAACAATGAAAACTTTCTTCTAAGAATATTATACCTGTCCTGCTGAGGTTGAGGTTTTCCTTCCATTGCAGTAAGAAGAGTGGGTGCCAGCTCACATTGCTTTTCCACAGGCAAACGAGGGTAACCCATCTTAACATATATTATTGTAAAATTCTGTAAAATGCAAGATATATCTGAAAAGTACTACTACAAAAAACAGCTCTATAGTACAATATCCACAAATTGTAAGAAACTTATGACTAAAATTCATTGATAAATACCACTGAAATGTTTACATTGTTCAAGTAGTCCAGCTCACCAAAAATATTCCACAATTTCATTTATTTTAATAACTTTAGAAAAATACTCCTCACATGTAGTTGTCTACAGAAGGAAAAGAGCAGATGAGGTTTAATAGCACCTTTTCCAACTAACACATTTTATTAACAGCATAAATGGCAACTCACCAAAAATTATTCCTTTGAACTAC